TCTTAGCCCAAGGTCAGACCGCCTCTTCGTTGTCTGAGTTCAGATGGCTTGAACCATGGGGGATACGGCTTATTGTAGGCCCATTTCCCGGACACGTCTGGTGAACAGTGCTTTTGATACCCTGGCACTCCAGCTTCAGTCCACTGTCTTTTCGAAGCTCCCCCGAATTCTGGAAGCGGACTCTTCATTCACAATTGTGTTAAGGCTGCGGGTCATCTCGCTCTTGGTTGTGGCAGCGTTTCCTTGCCCATTTCCCCTTCCAACAGACTTTTTGTGGATGTGCTTTGAAATGCACTCTGTGAACAGCTTGCTCGTTTTGAGAAATTTTCTTTTTTTGTGGTTTACCCTCCTGATCGGAGGGTGTCAATGACGGTCCTCTTGGATCGGCAGTCAGATCAGCAGTCTTCCCCATACTTGTGATTTAGTTTACTGAACCAAGCTGAGTTGTCTTTTCAGGCTCAGGAACCCTTGCAGGTGCTTTTTCGGTTAATTAGACGATCTCAAGTGATTCGTTGGAACACCCTATTAGTATACTTTTTCATGATCATTCTAATATTTAGGATAGGAATTTGAGTTTTTTAGCTGTATGCCATAATCAGGCAATATTAAAATAATACAAAAGGCTTGCAAATATTTCAGTTGATTTGTAATGAATCCAGAATGTATTGACATTTTTGTTTTTTTAATTGCAATTACAAGAAAAATTAAAGAAACTTTATCACAATATTCTAATTTTCTGAGACGTCCGTAAGCAGTGAAACGTGCATATTATCACACACGCATTGCATATTTTGGCTCAAAAAGCTGGGATGTTGGTTATTTTTCTCCATCTCGGATGACACCAAAAGCCTCCCAGACAGTTGGATTTCGCTCTTGAGGGAAGAGTTATTGAAATGCTGTATTCTCCGCTATAGAGAGCTTCACCTCAGCCATTCAGAATGTGGTGCGCTCAGCAGCAGATAGATGCACGCAGCAGGTTATAGGATTATGCTCGGTCCCGCGGGGGAGAGGTCTGAGGATTTAAACATTAAACTCAATTATTATTGTTTAAATATATTTATTATGCAACACCCGCAACCCGACCCGCATCATCTTTGTTTTACCCAGAAGCGAACCCGGAAAAAAGCGTTTGAAAAAATACCACCCGCAAATCACCTTTTTTGCGGGTCACCCGTCGGGTACCCGCGGATACCCGAACCGATGCAGGACTCTGCTATCTGGTCAGTAGGTTGCAAACTGTCTATTTGTTCCATCACCTGCCAGATCTCTCTGCAGCATACACATTCATCTGCAGTGGGCATGCTTTTCACAGCATTGACATGTACACCTGAATATTGTACATAACATGTTAAAAAACACCTGTGTTAGATGCATTACATGGCCTTTAAACTCTTCAATATGTGTTGAATAATTTGATGTACATTCAAATATGAATATAAGAACCTTGCAATTGGATGTGATCGTTACAAAACAGAGTGGCCCTTGAACCATCCCAAAAACATTTTTTATTTAGCTATTTATTTGGACAGAGATAATGAGCCAACCATCTCACAAAAAACAAAACCCCAGTGGCCGAGGTGCAGGATGTCACAAGAATCAATGCAACACAAGTATCTGCATGCTGGAATTAAAGCTCTGCAGCCAAACAGCTCTTACAGACAACATTTTCACCAACATGGCCCTCCGGAGTCTCCTGGAAACCATTGTGTAAAATGCAAACAAGATCAACTATCAAAACTGATGTTCTTCTCATTATTGAATCTTGGTTTTCTTCAATATAACTTGCCAACATCAGTCAATGTGTTATATAATGTATTTTTTTAAATGCATAATGGTCTTTACCTTTGATTAGACTCTTATAATTGAAGTTAGGCCTTGACTTATTTTTAAGGTAATCACTGCGCCACCAGACTTCTGCATTGCTGAAAAACATGTTCTTTCTAAGGCCTTTAGAAATAAATAGAGGACCATGCAATTATTTTGACACAAATCTAGGAATACCCATGAGAAAACCAAAGTTTAGCTCTTCACATCTTGTAATAATTGTGACATTCTTATGTTGACATATTTGCAGAAATGCAGGGAGGCAATAAGCAAGAGTAGGCGTGCAAACAGGGTGAATGCAACACACTACTGCCAATGTTGCATAATATTAATGATCTGGCAGGGGACTACAGTTTGTGGCTCATTAAGAAGAATATGGAGCACGTTTGCTGGCAGGTGAGGATCAGGTTATTTGGGAGAAGCAGGAATAATTTAAAAGTGTTTAGAAGGAATGACAGAGTCTACAGTAACAGGGCATGTTAGACAGTGAAGGTTTTACAATCATGGATGCATGGTTGCCATGAGATTATGATGCTTTTCCATGATAAACCAAAAACCAATTGAGCACTAACACTGACAAGCGTGGTGTTCTGACAAATGGGTGCTCAGTTTATTACTGTTCACCTGCTGAACTCTTTCTGCATGTGAATAAATGGTCTGTTTGCTCTCAGCTGCTGATCTGTCTCTGTGGATCTCCTTTCATCATTCGAGCTGTCACTGCTCGCTTTCAGACTGTTGCATGTTCTCACCTCGCATTTCCTCTGGAATATCAGTGTCAAACTTCAACTAAAAACAATTAACCCAAAATATTTCATCAAATGTAGTTTGTTACCATGTCTGCCTTATTCAAATTCAATTTAATTCAAAGGTTTTATTAATATATGCACATAAGCTGCAGTGTAGAAATGGCGAGGAAAATCTTATGACCCGAGCTCCTCCAACGATGCAACATATATAATAAAATACATATAAAACATAGTGCAAGAAGTCTATATGAATCACGGAAAAACATATTGTCTATATTGTTTCTTTTAGCAGAAAAAAACATTTAAAGCATTGCAATTAAATATCAAATGCTTAAATGCTTGTTTGTCAAAAACGTTGCTCTGACGTTAAACATGCTAATTTAGCATTGACTATGCTAGTTAGTTTGACTAACTCCTCTCATTGTTAGAGCATTGTTAGCTTAGCCCTCACAGGGCTCTCAAGTTTTGAACAGAGTTCAGAGTGAGATTTTGGCAGCAGCGGGGCTTTGGGTGGGGATGGTGGTCTTATCTGATAAATGACACATAAATTCATACAAATAAAAACATATTTGATTTCATTCTTGGTGAAGGGTGTGTGGTTGTGTGTGTGTGTGTGTTGTGTGTGTGTGTGTGTGTGTGTGTGTGTGTGTGTGTGGTGTGTGTGTGTGTGTGTGTGTGTGTGTGTGTGGTGTGTGTGTTTGGTGTTTTGTAGGTGTTCGTGGCAGGTTTTTGAGGCGTTCGCACTGGGTGTTGTGGCTCCCATCTGAAACAGTTGGTTCCAGGCCTGCCATCTTCCACTGTCGATGATGGAGCGCGCGTGCTGATCTAGGCCAACTGTCCGCTAGTTTTTGTCCGTTGTTCAGTTCAAACCATGCGAGAAAAACCCTCGCTCCGCGTCCGGCATTAGAGTGAGGGGAGCACTAGAACAGAAGTTGAGCGTATTTTAGTGAGGCCTCCCAAAACTGGCTCAACGGTCACCTTTAAAAAAAGGAAACCAAGGAGATCTATGTACTCAAATGTTTTGCTTTTGTTTCACAGTTGATTATGTGTATGTCACATGTGGTGCCAAATATTACTTACCTTGCACTTGATTTGAGGACATGCATCCCCACAAATCCTCATAATAAAGGTTGGTGGGATCTTGGGCCATGGGAGGTATCACATCAGCTGATAGATTCCAGGAATCCTGACACCACCTTGTCTGTTCCTCCGGCCCATGGGAAAGGTAGTAGTTGCACTGAAATCTAAAAAGAGACCCATGTGTAAAGATCTGCATTAATGATATTCAATCAAAGTAGGTTGAATGTGTTGAAATTCCTTGAAAATGTGGAAACACCTACCTGTATCTAAATAAGATTATAGGGCATCTTCCACCCCACATCGTCCTCTGCTGCACATCCCACAAATCTTGTACTGCCTCAGAATGAGCCTCGTTCAGAGGACAGTTTATTGATGCCATACTGCCAAAGCCTCTGCCAGAAAGCCCAGTGCTTGGCCTGTGGAAATAGCTGGACTCCCTTGAGGTCGTTGATGTCTCCAGCTCAAGGAGCCTATTGAGGGTAAGAACGCTGGATAATAGAAGCATAATACATTTTATATTTATGTAACATATACCTAACCAGGTACCAGCAGAACTAGAGAAGGAAGAATATAGATAGAAGAAATCGCAAATTATACCCACCCGGGTAGTTACTTGCAAAGTATTGCAGTCAGGAATTCTAGAGTATCATGGGTTATTTTTATTACTTATGTCTTTTTGTTTTTAACTTTATTCCGCATTTCACACAATGCGGGCACAAAACTATTAGTATGTGTGTGGTGTGTATCAAGTCTGTACTAAGTTGAGCACTATAATACTAATATCTCTTGCCAACAACATTATAAGTGTTCATGCCAATTGTTT